GGCTGAGTCAAGCTGGGCCAGACTGAGCTTTTCCAGATTTTGAAATGTGGAATTCAGAGACAGCTTATGAGAAAACAGCTAGCCAGAGACTGCTGCCTTCAGAAAAGCCTAGTTGAGGGCAGATGGCTTGAGCTCAGGAGTTCAAGATCAGCCTGGCCAACATGTGAAACCCTGTTTCCACTAAAAATACAAAAATTAGCCAGGCATGGTGGTGAGCACCTGTAGTCCCAGCTACTCAAGAGGCTGAGACAGGAGAATCTCTTAAACCTGGGAGGTAGAGGTTGCAGTGAGCCAAGATCATGCCACTGCACTCCAGCTTGGGCGACAGGGCGAGAACCTGTCCAAAAAAAAAAAGTACAAGAGCTAATATTTTCATGGGCTGGGTGTGGTGGCTCATGCCTATAATCCCAGAACTTTGGGAGGCAGAGGTTGGTGGGTCACTTGAGGTCAGGAATTTGAGGCCACCCTGGCCAACGTGGTGAAACCCCATCTTTACTAAAAATACAAAAATTAGCCAGGGTGGCACATGCCTGTAATCTCAGCTACTCAGGAGACTGAGGCAGGAGAATCACTTGAACCCAGGAGGCAGAGGTTGCAGTGAGCCAAGATCACCCCACTGCATTCCAGCCTGGGCCACAGAGTGAGACTGTGTCTCAAAAAAACAAATAACCATTCTGGCTAACACGGTGAAACCTCGTCTCTACTAAAAAAAATACAAAAAACTAGCCAGGCGAGGTGGCGGGCGTCTGTAGTCCCAGCTACTCGGGAGGCTGAGGCAGGAGAATGGCGTAAACCCAGGAGGCGGAGCTTGCAGTGAGCTGAGATCCAGCCACTGCACTCCAGCCTGGGCGACAGAGCGAGACTCCGTCTCAAAAAAAAAAAAAAAAACAGGTCGGGCACGGTGGATCATGCCAGTAATCCGAGCACTTTGGGAGGTCGAGGTGGGTGGATCACCTGAGGTCAGGAGTTCGAGACCAGCCTGGCCAACACAGAGAAACCCCATCTCTAATAAAAATACACAATTAGCCAGACATGGTGGTGCATGCCTGTAGTCCCAGCTACTCGGGAGGCTGACTCAGCAGGAGAATCACTTGAACCCAGGAGGCAGAGGCTGTGGTGAGCCAAGATCGTGCCACTGCACTCCAGCCTGGGCAACAAGAGCAAAACTCCATCTCAAAAAAAAAAGTACACCCATGAATCACTACTCCTAAACCCACCTCCATTTTAAATTGGCATTGTTGATAAATAAATTCGAGTTTCCTTGGAAATTGAGGTTTACAGAGGTGAAAGTACAAGCTGTTACAAATATCTAGTTACAAAGAACACTCACCATGGGTCAAATTGTAACTAGAGAAACCACTGCCATCCAAAAGGTTACTAGGGGCAAATTCAATATCTATTTAATTATTTATTTATTTATTTATTTATTTATTGAGCCAGAGTCTTGCTCTGTCACCCAGGCTGGAGTGCAGTGGCGTGATCTCAGCTCATTGCAACCTCAGCCTCCCAGGTTCAAGTGATTCTCCTGACTCAGCCTCCTGAATAGCCAGTATGATAGGCACACACCACCAGGCCCAGCTAATTTTTGTATTTTTAGTAGAGATTGGGTTTCACCAAGTCGGCCACGCTGGTCTCGAACTTCTGGCCTCAAGTGATCTTCCCACCTCAGCCTCCCAAAGTGCTGGGACTACAGGTATGAGCCACCATGCCCAGCCTCAGTATCTCTTTAAAGCCTTAATACAAGGGAAGTCTTAGTGAATGATGTGGTCACCTGTGTAGACATTTATTTTAGCCAAGATAAACATATGAAGAAAGAAGGCCAGTGAACCGGACGCGGTGATAAACATCTGAAGAAGATAAACATATGAAGAAAGAAGACCCGTGAACCGGGCACACTGCAACGAGCTGTGATTGCACCACTGCACTCCAGACTAGGTGACATAGCAAGACTTCATCTCAAAAACTAAAAATAAAACAGTAATAGTTTAATATGTTGCCCAACATATAAAGATACTTGATAACTAATGTCATGCCTGCATATACAAAATGAGAATATACTATATGTCACAAATAAATTGCATATATAGAACCCTCTTTTCATTCCTTAGGAAGTATAAATTATTTGGGGCTGGACACAGTGGCTCATGCCTATAATCCCAAAACTTTAGGAGGCCGAGGCAGGCATATCACCTGAGGACAGGAGTTCGAGACCAGCCTGGGCAACATGGCAAGACCCTGTCTCAAGTGATCTGCCTGCCTCGGCCTCCCAAAGTGCAGGGATTACAGGCGTAAGTCACCGCACCCGGCCCCACGTCTGCCACTTTTGTATTTTTGGTAGAGATGGGGTTTCACTATGTTGGCCAGGCTGGTCTTGAACTCCTGACCTCATGATCTGCCCGCCTCGGCCTCCCGAAGTGCAGGGATTACAGGCATGAGCCACCGTGCCTGACCTAATAAATAAAATTTAAAAAAAAAATTTTTGATGTGAAATATGAGGTGAAAAAGATATAGGTGGATTGCTCATCCCAGATTACTATAATACCTCTATGGCAGACACTTCTATGATTCCCAACTTCCATTCTCGCCTCTCTTTGATAGTAATAGAGAGCCTAGGCCGGGCGCGGTGGCTCAAGCCTGTAATCCCAGCACTTTGGGAGGCCGAGACGGGCGGATCACGAGGTCAGAAGATCGAGACCATCCTGGCTAACACAATGAAACCCCGTCTCTACTAAAAATACAAAAAAATTAGCCGGGCGAGGTGGCGGGCGCCTGTAGTCCCAGCTACTCGGGAGGCTGAGGCAGGAGAATGGCGTAAACCCGGGAGGCGGAGCTTGCAGTGAGCCGAGATAGCGCCACTGCACTCCAGCCTGGGCGACAGAGCGAGACTCCGTCTCAAAAAAAAAAAAAAAAAAAAAATAGAGAGCCTAGTATGTGGCCAGCCAGAATAAAGAGCCACTTGCCAGCCTTCCCAGTAACCTGGTGGCCATGTGACTAAGTTTTGGACAATGAGATGTAGCAGCAATGTATGCGACTCCTGGGTCACGCTCTTAAGGGGAAGGAAAGAAGATATTCCTTGTCTTTGTGTATCACAGCACCTGAACTCATCCAATCTAACACAGAATTTGGTACAAGAGGGGGGTGGCTGCCCTAACAGAGCCTAAAAATACATATGGCATTGACTTAGCAGACAGGCAATGGGTGCCAACAACACAGGTATTTCCACCTAGAAAGCTGATGGGCAGTGTTATGTTATAGGACAAAACATTTGGTGAAACTGAGGCAGACTGCATGCCCTTGAAACCTGTAGCTCAGGAGTGTATGTTCACTGTTTCTCGTCACTTTCAGGAATGCCCAGGAGAAAGATGAGGTCAAGTTGGAGCTCCCTAATGAGCAAGTAGACATGAAGGGGATTTCGGCTCTGCAAAAAGGAGGTACCCTCCTGGCCAGGCACGGCAGCTCACACCTGTAATCCCAGCACTTTAGGAGGCCAAGGCCAGTGGATCACTTGAGGGTGGGAGTTCGAGACCAGCCTGGCCAACATGATGAAACCCCATCTCTACTAAAAATACAAAAATTAGCTGGGTGAGGTGGCAGGTGCCTGTAATCCCAGCTACTCGGGAGGCTGAGGCAGGACAACCGCTTGAACCCGGGAGACGGAGGTTGCAGTGAGCCAAGATCGTGCCACTGCACTCCAGCCTAGGCGACAAAGCCAGACTACGTTTTAGGATTAAAAAGAGAGAGAGAGACAGAGATATGAGATTTATTTTAAATGCCCTCCGAGGTGAGGAGCACAATATTGAAGTTCTAGTGTGTGACTGATGGAAGATTCAAAGGTCAGGTGCCCAGATGCTGGAGGGGATCTTCAACATTAATCTAATAATCAGATCAAAGATGCCAAATGATTTTCCTCTAATAATCAATCTGTAAGTATCTTCTACTCCGTGAGGACAAATAATGACACAATAATTTTAGGGCATAAATCAAATACTCAAAATCAGTCTCGCAAATGAGCATACAACAGAAGTTCCAAAAACTGACATTCATGACTGTTAATTCATTAAAACCACCAGCACATACCGAGGTGTCAACAGAGTGGCTAAAAGGAAAAGAAAGAAACCCCACCAGCACATAGTTCCAAATTCGGCAGAGTTAAGACTTAAACTCTAAAATTAAAGTAACAGACTAGCTACAAGGAGACAAATACATAATAAATATCATGCTGTCTTCCAAGACTGGAACTAACTGCCCATTTCTCCCAAGCAGTGCAGTCTTGGACCCCCCACCTGCTCACATAAAATCCTCAGAGATGGTCCTGGAAATGTACCCTTGGGAGATTAAAACTTTACTTCTCCCACAGCTCCGTTGGTTTTCTAGGCTGGGTGCAGTGGCTCAGCCTGTAATCCCAACACGTTGGGAGGCCGAGGCTGCAGGATTAGCTTGAGCTCAAGAGTTCAAGATCAGCCTGGGCAACATGGTGGGACCCCATCTCTACTAAAAAAAAAAAAAAAAAAAGCCGGGCTTGGTCGTCCCTCTGTGTCCCCAGCTACTCAGGACGCTGAGGTGGAAGGATAGCTTAAGCCCAGGAGTTCGAGGCTGCAGGCAGCTGTGATCGCAGCACTGCACTCCAGCCGGGGCCACAGAGCGAGACTTCGTCTAAAAAAAAAAATAAAAAAAGGAAAGAAAAAGAAAAAAAGACTTTCTCACACGTTTCCAACAAAGGAAAGAAAAGCTCTTCCAAAACCAGGTCCGGACCAGCAAGATGGGAAGACCATCCAAGCGTGGACCTCAAGGATCCTCAGTTACAGAGGCTGGACGGGGGATGACCGACACTAAGCACCCACACCTACCCTCTGCTCCCTTCACCTCCCCCTCCTCCCCACTGGCCGCGCGTTCAGGCCGGCGGCCGGTTCCCCGACCCCGACACCCCACCGCAAATCGACCAGGGGATGATGCTTCTGCGTCCCAGCCCCCGCTCCCACCGCCCAGGCCCTATCCCCGACCTGGGGGACGCTCCAGGGCGCCCCGGGGCTCGCGGCTCTCGGGCTTCCTCGGCCGGTAGCCGTAAACGCCCCGCTCGGTCTGGTAGCCGCGCCAGATGAGAGGGGGAGCCCGGCCGAGGCCCCGTCGTGCTGCTGCCACAGTAGCAGAGGCCATGTTCACCGGGTCCCCAGTCCAGGACCCTGAGGCGGGAGCCCGAGGTGGTCCCACCGGCCCTGGTAAATCCGGGACTCTCAACGAGGAGGCCGGAGCCCCGCCCCCAGACAACTCCCCCGCGACTGATTGGCCGAGGGGCCGGACCCTCGAAGCCAATCCATGGCAGCGGCGCTCACAGCGAAGCCTCGCCCAGGATTGGGGCGGGACTCCAGGGCGGTGCCGGCGGCTGAGACCGCTCTGCTCCAGCGCAGGACGGGGCAAGTAAGTGTCCCGCGGTGCGGTACCTGCTCTCGGTACGAAACTGGATGTAGCTGCAGTGCCTGCAGTCTCCCGCCAGGAGTGTTCACCCATCACGCCTGTGCCCAACCTCATAGACACAATCTAAGGGGTCTGTTACGGAAAGGACAAATTAGCCACAGGGTGGATAGGAAGTGGCTAGAACTGAGACCAAGGGACGCAAAAAGGAAAGGTTATTTGGGGCAGTTGGAAAACCAATACCCCTATTTTTTTTGTTTTCTTAAGAAACTTTAAGAGAGGCTGGGCGTGGTCACTCACGCCTGTAATCCTGACACTTTGGGAGGCCAAGGGGGGAGGATAATCTGAGGTCAGGAGTTTGAGACCAACCTGGCCAACATGGCGAAACCCCGTCTCTACTAAAAATACAAAAATTAGGTCGGGCGCGGTGGCTCACGCCTGTAATCCCAGCACTTGGGGAGGCCGAGGCGGGTAGATCACCTGAGGTCGGGAGTTGGAGACCAGCCTGACCAACATGGAGAAACCCCGTCTCTACTAAAAATACAAAATTAGCCGGGCGTGGTGGTGGGTGGCTGTGGTCCCAGCTACTCGGGAAGCTGAGGCAGGAGAATCGCTGGAACCCGGGAGGCGGAGGTTGCGGTGAGCTGAGATGGCGCCACTGCACTCCAGCCTGGGCGACAAGAGGGAAACTCTGTCTCAAAAACAAACAAACAAACAAACAAACAAAAACAGGCAGCAATGGCTCACGCCTGTAATCCCAGCACTCTGGAAGGCCGAGGTGGGCGGATCACGAGGTCAGGAGTTCGAGACCATCCTGGCTAGTATAGTGAAACCCCGTCTCTACTAAAAATACAAAAATTAGCCGGGCGTGGTGGCGGGTGCCTGTAGTCCCAGCTACTTGGGAGGCTGAGACAGAAGAATCGCTTGAACCCTGGAGGCGGAGGTTGCAGTGAGCCGAGATAGTGCCCATTGCCCTCCAGCCTGGGCGACAGAGGAAGACTCCGTCTCAAAAACAAACAAACAAACAAACAAAAAACATTAAGAGAGAAAGAAGGAAACAGGGTAGAGGGAGCAGGGAAGAAAGGGATAGGAGTCAAAAGAAATTGGACATGAACGATTACAGCAGCCCAGAGATATTTGAGAACCTCAGTTGGTCTGCGTCTGAGTGAGTTTCCCAAACGATGTTTTTTTCCTGCGGCTTACTTTTAACTTTGCCAGTATGGTAGGGGAGAGAGTCTGCATCCTTACCTGGTCAGTCATCCTTCGTTCCAGTAAGCTGTGCAGCTATATCCCAAACTCCTAGGAATATTATTACAAGCCCAAGACATCCTCCTTCCTTATCATTCAACCAGTATACTCATAAAGCACTCTGCTGGGTTAAAAAGATTAATAAGGCACAGTTTCTGCCCTTAGTTCCCAGTCTAGCTGTAGATAGAATTCAACACACAGGATGATAGATTATTTAATGTAGGCACATGTAGGTGCCCCCTGCAAGCACAGAAGCACCATCTAGCACAGCTACGGTAGTTGGGGACCCCTTAGGTCCACAGTTTGGTGGCCTCCCCATCTTGCTAGTTTGGACCTGGTTTTGGAAGGGCTTGTCTTTTTTTTTTTTTTTTTTTTTTTTTTTTTTTTGAGAAGGAGTCTCGCTCTGTCTCCCAGGCTGGAATGCAGTGGCGCCATCTCGGCTTACTGCAACCTCCATCTCCTGGGTTCAAGCGATTCCTCTGCCTCAGCCTCCCGAGTAGCTAGGATTATAGGCACCTGCCACCATGCCCAGCTACTTTTGTTGTTGTTGTTTTGTTTGTTTGTTTGTTTGTTTGAGACGGAATTTCGCTCTTGTTGCCCACGCTGGAGTACAATGGCGAGATCTCCACTCACCGCAACCTCCACCTCCCGGGTTCAAGCGATTCTCCTGCCTTAGCCTCCCAAGTAGCTGTGATTACAGACATGCACCACCATGCCCAGCTTATTTTTGTATTTTTAGTAAAGACAGGGTTTCTCCATGTTGGTCAGGCTGGTCTCAAACTCCTGACCTCAGGTGATCCACCCACCTCAGCCTCCCAAAGTGCTGGGATTACAGGCGTGAGCCACCATGCCCGGCCCCGGCTAAGTTTTTGCATTTTTAGTAGATACAGGGTTTCACCATGGTGGCCAGGCTGGCCTTCAGCTTCTGACCTCAAGTGATCTGCCTGCCTCAGCCTCCCAAAGTGCTAGGATTACAGGCTTGAGCCACTGTGCCTGGCCAGACTTGTCTTTTTTATTCCTTGGTTGTGAACCTGTGGGAACCTAACTCTTTGGACAGGTGGGGCTGTGGGAAAAGAAAATTTCTGAGATCTGAGTGTGTTAGGGGAACTTCCAAGTGGAAGGGACATTAGAACAGAATCTTGAGGCATGAGGAGTTAGGCAAATGCACAAAGACAAGAGCACACCAAGGAGATGGCAGTGAAGAGTAGATATGAGATAACTGGATGATCTAGAGTTTTGAGTAGAAAGGAGGGGGTAATTAAAGGATCAATGCCCCTCAAGTTGATCCACAAATGAAAAGATAATCTTAGTCAGGGGCATGGACATTTTATATGATATAAGAGGAGGCCGGGCACGGTGGCTTACGCCTGTAATTCCAGCATTTTGGAAAGCTGAGGCAGGTGGATCACCTGAGGTCATGAGTTCGAGACTAGCCTGGCCAACATGGTGAAACCCCGCCTCTACTAAAAATGCAAAAAAATTAGTTGGGCATTGTGGCAGGTGCCTGTAATCCCAGCTATTCGGGAGGTTGAGGCAGGAGAATCACTTGAACCCAGGAAGTGGAAGTTACAGTGAGCCAAGATCGTGCCATTTTACTCCAGCCTGGGCAACAAGAGTGAAACTCGGTCTCAAAAAAAAAAAAAAAAGAGAGAAGGAAAGGCAAAGAATCAGATACATACTCATGTGCATTGATAGATTTGATCATGGAAGGATATGGGAGTTCTTTTCTGCTTTTGGTGAAAAAGCAAGATCAGTAGCTGAAAGAGGGAGTGAGGAGATACGGGAGAAGGTTTGAAAGGGATGAAAAAATTTTGAGACAATGGGCTGGGAAAGTGGACTTATTAGGAACAGTCATGATTTGGGGGTTGTCAACCGCCCACTGAGGCTTCAAGACCAGTTAGAATCATTGAGAGTTTTTCTCCAGATATATTCAGCTCCCGCAGGTACAGCGCAGAATGGAGTTGAATTTACCCAAGTATGGGGTTTTGCTTAGCAGGTTTGATGAAGACATTAGACAAGGGAGTATTCACAGCATTGAGCCAGATAATCGAGGCTGGGTAAGGGGACAAGCAAAAGGGAGGTTGACACTGAAAAATTGATTGGGCCAGTGGATTGAGGGTAACAAGAGGCAGAGAGTTGAAGTGCAGGCACTACTAGTGTGAGTGAACTGGTGGTCAGATTGTGGGATGCTTGAAACTGAGATTTTGTATGGAAGGTGGACATTGGTACTACAGGGAGAAAAACCCCTTCTTGAGACCTGTGGACCTCAGGTGAGAATCCTTGATGTAGATTGGCAAAGTTCAAAATGTTTCTAAAAGTTTGATAGCACACTATGTTGGTAAAGGTATAGGGCAATAGGTACTCCCATACATTGTTGGCAAAAATGTAAAGTGGTACGAACTCCATAGAGGGCAGACGTCAATATTTTACAAAGTTAATAAAATGCATTCTGTTTGACCCAGCAATTCCACCTTTAGGAATTCATACAAAGAACAGACTTTCATGTACACATTCACACACAATTTTGTACATATTCATTGTAGCATTGTCTATAATTGAAATAAAAGATTGTGAGGCCGGGCGCAGTGGCTTACACCTGTAATCTCAGCACTTTGGGAGACCGAGGCGGGCAGATCACGAGATCAGGAGATCGAGACCATCCTGGCTAACACGGTGAAACCCCATCTCTACTAAAAAAATACAAAAAATTAGCCGGGCATGGTGGCGGGTGCCTGTAGTCCCAGCTGAGGCAGGAGAATGGCGTGAACCCGGAAGCGGAGCTTGCAGTGAGCTGAGATCGTGCCACTGCACTCCAGCCTGGGCGACAGTGCAAGACTCCGTCTCAAAAAAAAAAGAAAAAAGAAAAAAAAAGAAGATTGTGAACACCTAAATATCCAAAACTAGGGGATTAAATAAAAGTCCTCTACAATGGAATACTATAGAGTTGTAAAACAGAACGAAGCATGCCAGATACAATGGGTCACACCTATAATCCCAAAACTTTGGGAGGCTGAACTGGGAGGATCACTTGAGGCCAGGAGTTCGAGATCAGCATGGGCAACATAGGGAGACCTCATCTCTATAGAAAATAAAAACAAATACCCCGTCTCACTAAAAATACAAAAAAATAGCTGGGCGTCGTGGCGGGCACCTGTAGTCCCAGCTACTCGGGAGGCTGAGGCAGGAGAATGGCGTGAACCCAGGAGGCGGAGCTTGCAGTGAGCCGAGATTGCGCCACTGCACTCCAGCCTGGGAGACAGAGCGAGACTCTGCTTCAGGAAAAAATAAATAAATAAATAAAAACAAATTAGTGGGGTGTGGTAGCACACACCTGTAGTCTCGGCTATTCAAGAGGCTGAGGTGGGAGGATCGGTTGAGCCCAGGAGGTCCGGGCTGCAATAAGCCATGATCACACTACTAAACTCCAGCCTGGGAGACAGAGCAAGACCTTGTCTCAAAACAAACAAACAAACAAATATATATATATGTGTGTGTGTGTATATATATATAAACAAAACAAAAAATATATTAGAATGCTCAATTCAATAAATATTAGCTGTCAGGGGGCGGTGGCTAGCTGATCCAGCACTTGGAGCGAGATGGCGGATCA